AAGTAAAGACTTGCAACATCTGATCTTTCTTCTTGATATGACTCTTTTCTGGTATGTAGTCAGCAGTCACTTTCTTCATCTAGACAGAATCCTGGACCACTGGCCCTAAGCTTCTATTTTACTGGTGGTTTTAGTCTCTTCAGCATGCACAGCAAACTAGCAGCCCAGATATTCCCTTACTTCTCCTTTAGGAGTTGCTTTAAAAATTAAATAATCTGCCGTCTTGCCTTTGGCTCCCTGGAGTACTGTAGCAAGTGTGACAGTGCTGAACGCCCAGTCCTACTCTGTTTGTACATCAGAGCAGTAGAAAGGCTCCTGCTCACTGCAGTGGATGGTATACAGCCCAGAAAACAATCTGAAGGGTGAGCACCATGACGTGTCCCTTCATCCCTCAGGGTGACTGTAATTGGGAGGCTTTTCTGGGAGCACTCCAGGACGGGCACAGGGAGTGGTGGAGTGAGCTGCATCTGTCTCAGCAAGCAGCACAGTGTGATAGGGGTGAAGCATTTGGTGCAGAGTCCTTGGCTGCCATGTTTTGGGTGTGGATGTGCTCTGGTCATGTAGACAGAAAAACTGAAACACAGCATTTGGGTCCTTGGACTGCGCTTTAGTTTCATGTGAAAGGAATCCCGTTTGTGCACTCAAACTTCTCTCTGTTGTGCAGACCAAAGCATAGCAGATTCGCTCAAAAAATACTCTCCTGTTCTGAATTAAAACATCAGCATGAACACAGCAAAGTAGCAATATGCCATACTACAAGATCTCATGCTAAAAGAATGTGTTGTCATTATCTCAGATGATAGACTGGTGATAAAATTGCAGTGATGAGTGCAGGGTAAGTAATTTGAATCAAGAGAAGAGGAAGTGTAAGAGAACTTTACTTCTGAAAATTGACAGATGAATGCTAAATGCTGTTATCTGATGCCCTTCACATGAGAGAAATTGTTATTTCTTTAAATCACGTTGTAAGTAAGTATTAACTGTTCCTCTATGGTATTGTGCAGCAAGTAAAAAAAGGTTCTTCCCTATGCCACCTACATTTCTCTGGTGAAAACTACTGCTTGGTTTCATAAAACCTGTTGTTTTATATTTATTAAACAGCAAAAAAGTGAGATTTCTGAAAAAAACAGTTTTTTTCCGTTTTTGTTTGGAAGAAGCTAGAAGCTTGCTACTAGGAACAAGCAACTGTAAAGGCTGTTAATAATATATGAAGCTGCTGAAATGAGTATGTTCCAAATATGGCAGTTTTTATCAACTGCACTTGTGAACATTTCAGCTCATTAATGGTAACACTTTTTAGTTACTTGTTAGTAAGTATTGAGGTGATGAAGGAGAATATACAGCAGAGCAATGTTTCCCAATCCTTGAAAATAGACTGCAAACCCTCAAGTGGTTTCTATAGTATGTGTGTCTCTACTGAAAAAGTAGCTGTAGAAGGACAAGCCAATGTGTTCATCCAATTGTTTGAGAGCTTTAAGGTGTGCATTCAAGAGACTCAGGTCCCTTAACTAGTCTGGCTGGGATGGACTCTGTAAACTTCTGCCCTGTTCTCTGTTGTTTGAGAAGGTGGTACCTGCAATGGAAAAGTTTAGCAAAGTGTTTCTTCCCATTTATGGAGTATTCTGTATCTCTTGTCTTGTATCTCTTGTCTTGTATCTCTTGAATATGTGAAAGGGTTTTTTGTTTTTTGGTGGGTTTTTTGTGTTTTTTGTTTGGTTGGTTTGGTTTTTGTGGTTTGTTTTGTTTTTGTTTGTTTGTTTGTTTGTTTTCCACCACGATTTGGTGAATACTACTACGTGTCACAGGCTTAAGATGAAAGACCTATAATTGATAGGAATAGTCTAATAATTACAAATTCAGCTGTTCTTCCCCAGCAGTATTCCCAGTATTCTTCCCCAACACTGGTCATTTTTAACACCCAGCTAGACAGGGTGCTGGGGCATCTTGTCTAGCCTATGCTTTTATCCAAGGTTGGACCAGATGATCCTTGAGGTCCTTTCTGACCTCATATTCCCTGATTCTGTGATCCTGTGAATCTTGTGTCTTTTCCCTATGCCCACCAGTGCACTTTAGCAGCAAGGCACGTTCATGTTCTGTAAAGGTGAGCAACCTAGTGGTGTGTGAGTCCTCTCATCCACAGTGAGTTCTTAGTAAGTATAGAGTTGTAACCAAGCCAAACTAAATATGGAAACTGCCATGTGAATGAAAGCCTACCTGTCAAAGAAGGCAACTTTTCACTTAAGGAAGATGTTCTGGATTTTATTTTATTAAATCTCATATTCTTATGCTCTCATTCTTATGCTAGGATTTCATTGAGTGCACATGTGTGCATAGTATGCATGTTACCATTGTGCCTATTAAATGTGAGCAGAAATTCTCTTAGTGCATTATGCTTCATATCTTTGAAGAATTTTAAAGCTAGAACTGTTAATGTGAAACAGAATTTTTGGAATAAATGAGAATGGTCAGGCACTCTGAAGCAAATATTTGGAAAAAAATGCTCAATTACGTGAGTACCAGATTCTTATAAGCAGTTACGGTATTTTTGTTGTGATGGTAAAAAAAAAAACAACAAAGGGAAGCCACCTTAGTGTAGTGGCTCAAGTTTAGTAGTTGATTGATTCTGAAAGTCAACAGGTGAATATTTTCCCCAGACCAAGCAGAGAGAAAGACTGAATTGAATAGCCAAATTCCTATTGATTTCCTTGGGAGCAGGATCAAGTCTTAAATTCTTGATTAACTCCTTTTTTTACTTTAATGAGAATTACGTGACTTAAATCCTGTTTTATGTTTTGGAAGCAATGGGTAAGGTTTAAATCAAATAGTATCTTTTCTAGACTTTTGATAGTGCTATTCTTTTTAGTTCTTCTGTTACCTCAGGGTATTTACTTTTGGCTCTTAGTGTGGTGTAGAAGTTGATACTATTGTGAACGGAATTGGCAAGTCTTAAAACACAATGTTTAGATCATAAACATTTTAAAATAAGACTCCATAAAAAAAGATTTGTTTTATTAATATGAAATGTTAGTTGTGTTCTTGGCAGGCTTTGCTTCAGAGGAGTCAGATGCATTTCAAAGTGTATTCTGGTGGCCAGCTACAGCCAAAAGATTATTTCAAACCAATGGAGACCCAATTCCCTTTTCTCTATAGCTTTTTTCCTTTCTGTGTCTTTCTCTTCCTCCCTCTCTCTTCAGTAGGACTCTATATATTACAAATGAAGTGTAGCCAGTCATGGGGTGAAAAATTCATACACAATTATACTTAACAGTGGAAGGCATAGAAACTTGGACTAAAGATGACAGCACTGGTCTTTGCTTTAGGAAGTGCTGCTGAGATTTCTTTTCTTCAACACTCTTCAAATCTTCAGAGTTCAAAAACCATTGGCTACTCTTCCAGAGCCAGCAGGATTGCATAAAATATATGGAGAATTGCTTCTATCTGCCCTGCACTTAGCTGTGGAGTGGCATAGTCATCTTTTTAACAATGACTTGATTCATAGATGCTGTGTGAAACCAGTTACACTCCAGAGATGAGCAGAAGGTGATGGGTTTGGGGAGTACATTAATGGAGCGAGCCTTTAGTTATCTCAATCATTCATGGTTCATTGTGGTAGATGTTGTTTTAGTTTTTCACGTTTATTTGAAATAAATGTGTGAGGATATTTCTTCTCCTGCTTTAGAGATGTCTTTAGAGGACTTATTTTCATAAAATATTTACTCAATGTGATGAGAGGTATTGTCTTACATAGTTGTGCAAATACAGGTGCCATAGTAGAAGCTCTCTCTACTCATCAAACAATCAACATTGCTCAGTTACTCCAGAACAGAATTTTACTTCTTTTTTTTTCACATATAGTGAAGGTAGAGCTTTCTCCACCTTGCTTTTGAAGCCTCTTTCTGCTGTGGGTTTTGCTGGATATGGGCCTGAAATCCCTGCCTGCTTTGCTTTGAATGAGGACAATTAATAGTACTGCTTAGTGTCACTCACAGGGAATCCTTTAATTCCTAATTTATATTTCCCTTTAGGTGAAGGAATGTATCAGTAATAGGAATTATTGTAATTTCTCTGATTTTGAGAATTCAACGAATGATGGAGATGAACCATTCAAAAAGAACTGCAGTTGCTTACATGGCATGCAGTCCTGTTGCATTTCCCACGGGAGCATAAAAGCACAGAGAACAAACTATGACACGGCTTCATGTCCTCCTACACATTTGCCGAGCAGATCTGCACGACTTGAGATATTTGTGCACTTAGTAGCCTGTGTTTATAATGACCTCATAGTAGTGGGAAAAAAAAAAAAAGAGACTGGCAAAAAGCAAAAAAAACTACTAAGAGCTGAAAACTGAACACCTAGTGCTCGCAGTGTGTGTTGGTGGGGGGGGTGGTATTTTGGAGAAGATCTAGGTAAAATTTGTGTTAAGTGCATCAGAAATACTGAGGGCAATTCTTTGGATGAGTCTGCACATTTGAGTAGTTTGTGAGGCTGTGTCCTTGATGATTTTGAGAAAGAGTCCTTTGCAGCTGTTTGTATGAATATGAAGGGTTAAGTAATAAAGAAGGAATAGATGTTTTTGCTTAAAAATAATAGGGCTGGATTTCAGAGGGAGCTGTAAAGCTTTCAGCAAGAATCAGGCGAACACTACAGTAAAGGGAAAAGCTGAAATGTGAAGAGTGCGTGATGTGAGATGCCAGCTCAGCACTTCCAGATCACATTGCTCTAGCAGAGGAGGAGACCACCCTTGGAACTGCAGTGAACTCTAGCTGCTCTGCAATGTAAAGTTGTATAGGCTGATACCCCTCTCACTGTTATGTCACCTGGTGGTAGCCTCTCTCAACAGTTCTCTACTCTGGGGAAAACGTGATATTTACAAGTACTTCTCTAGGGGTGGAAAAATCTCCTTAATATACAGATCCCAGCTGCACAAGGAAAGGAAAAGAATGTTCATACACAAAGAGTTCTTTACTGAGGGTGTTTGTTTTTTCTCCTCTTTGTACAGGTTCTACATGGGAGAAAACATTACGGCAGATTGGTTTTGAAAGGTAAGCCATAAATTTATTTCCTTACCAGTGCAAAAGGTTAAGGAAGAAAAACTGCACAGACAAATTTGCAAAGTTATTTATTTTAGTTGATTTACTGTATCAATGACCTCAAATTCAGAGTGGAAATCATGCAGTGTCATGCACATATGTATTCAGCTTTTCTGTTTGTGTCCTCTTTCCCCAGTCAATCTGAAGCAATTTATTCATCATATGAACTTGGCTCATCATGTTGTTTCCTGCTAGTATTAAAAAAGGGACACAAGTCTTATTTATGAATGAAAATATTACTCTCACTCATGTTATTTTTTCCATGAAACTTGTAATCTCTGACATATGACTTGACAAAAGTAAATGAAGTTGAAAGAAGAGCAAAGCTGGCAGAGAGCTGCTCAGCATCAGAGAAAGATTCAATATGCAGCATTCCTCAAGTGCAAGAACTTCTTGCAGACAAACTTAGCCACAAAGTCATCATACCAGAAACACATGTCTGTCTTGTAAATTAAACTAGGTCAAGTCCAGTGAAGAGTGCTGTAAAGTAAAGAATTCAGATGCTCAGTGTCATCTTTATTCTTCTATAAATGGTAGGCAGAAGAATCTGCTCTTTGCTTGAAGTTTTGGATGTCGTTGAAATTTAAGCACTCTCAGTTGCTATGTTTGATGTCCTCAAAGGTTTTTTTTTTTTTTTTTTTTTTTTTTTTTTTTTTTTTTTTTTTTTTTTTTTATTTTTTTTCCAAGTTACATCCAACTTGTTTCCTGATTTCATTCAGCATAATACTGCAGATGTCTGCCGGGCTCTACAATAAACTGTTAATTCTTTCACCATCCAAATTATGAATTAGCACCTGTTGGTGCTGCTTGTCTCCATTAGAATGAAAAAAAGAGAGTTTTGAGAAGTTCTAAAATGAATTGATACTCTGTGTCTGTGCTTTGAAAGTGAGAATGGAAAAGGGTCAGCATCTTTTTAGCTGAGTTCATTAAAAGTTCTGTGGTGGCAGTTTCCAACTTCTGAGATGTTTCAAAACTAGAAGGAGAATCCATGCTAGCTGTGTATATGCAAGGTGTGTACCACATGAGAGATGGAGAATTCTTGATAGACTAAATTACAGCTGAGAAGCCTTCCTGAGAGAAGGCAAATATGCAGAAGGGATTTCTGTGCAGATCCCATTATTGCCACTCTAGTTTATAAAGGCTTTCAAACTGCACTTCTGCACCTTGAGAGATTGATTGTCACCCTGGGGTAACTTTGTTTGAAGCAGCACATTAGTTAGCACAGATGATGTGAAGATTTGAATGTACTTTGCTTGCCATAGTCATAGAACCAAATGTGTTCTCTTATCAGCTTTTTCAGAGAACTGGCAAGGAGAAAAATGATAAAGTCTTTCATATAGATATAACAATTAAGATTTGGGATTTAAAAATAGTAATATCCATTTTCTTACCTGTATTTTTAAAACAAGATTTTATGACAGGAATATATTATAGAATAATAGAATGGCTTGGGTTGGAAGGTACCTTAAAGATCATCCAGTTCCTACCCTGCTGCCATGGGTTGTTCAGAGCCCCATCCAGCCTGGCCTATAACACAAGGTGTGGGGCAAAACTTCTCAAATTGGTTGAATAAAAGGTTAATGAGTAACATATATGTGAATTTCAATGTTAACTCATTTATAGCAATATTTTCTTAATATCATATTGTCTGTTATTGCTTCAGATCAGTATTTTTTGTATCTTAAAGAGTAGCTTCCAAAGCAAACACATTCCCATGTAGTACCTGGATGCTGGAATCACACTTAACTTGCAGTCACAGTAGAAATCCCAGGTCTGCAGATCTTGCAAAGCTGAGAGATTATTCTGTGGATGTATCACTACATCCTTTCCCTAATCTTATTCTCTTCAGTAGGAATCCCCTTTTGGCCACCAGTAGAGACAGGTTAGTGGGCTACATCTATGTTAACTCTGATCCCATACAACTGTTCTTTTGTTATTTCTATAAACTCTAGGGAAAGAAGCAGCAGAAGCATGTCTGCCTATTTAAAATTCTATTCTCTGCAAGCTTTTGACTTAGGCACACCTGAGTCAGCAGTGAAATACCAATAGCATTTAAATGTGTTGTTGAGCAAAAGCATTCTCATTCAGGAGGGAGGAAGCAAGATTTTCAGATATAGAAAAGAGAGACATGAAGCAATGCCCTAAGGAGGAATTATATTTGCTTTAAAACTGGAAGATCCATATAAACTGTTCTCAACAAACTGTTTTAGAGTGGATTGAGGAACAGGAGATATAGACAGTCAGTTTACATTACAGGAAATTAATCCCATATAATTTACAGGTGATGTCTTCACTGCTTTGTGGCTACATGGTGTTTATTCTGTAACAGTAGAGTATTTACATTACTCTTGTCTTCATATCCTGAAAAACATTGTGGCACCAAGAGATCTGACTGCGAGGCTTTTATGTAAGCATTACTTGTGAGCTGAGGATGCTGCTTTTCAATGCAGGGGAAATTAAAAATGCTGAAGCTCGAGTAAAGTAGCTTTATATCCAGGAAATGACTGGAGTTAAGAGCTTTTCAATTAAAAGGAGTATATGTGAGTTTGATAGATATAAATGAAGGTCTTTATGTTATTGATTGTCTTTTGAGACATTACAAACAAGCTAATTGTAACATACTGTGGTAGTCACCACCTTTGTCCAGCATGAACTAGACTGCAGTTCCTGACTGCATTTTCTGAAGAACATTAAGGATCAATTTTGAGATTTAGGAAAAATACTGTTTTGTATTTTGCTGTCCTATAAGAAATATGGTTTAAAATGCTAAGCACATATGATACTTTCATGTCAAGCAAACCTTAATGGTTTTTAAAAAAGTCCTTTGTAAGCCAAAGCAAGTAGACTTATGGATAAGTAGGATGACTTTTTTGCAACTGTTAATGTGGGGATTATTGTTCACTATTGGTGCATATTACAATGACTCTCACATAGGCATAAAAAACGTCTGGAAAGCAGTCAGCTCTCTTGTACTTTGTTCCAAACATGACTAAAATTTTGTTTTAGATGGCATTGTTCACCTCAATGGCTTAATATTTTTTCAGTCACATTCAGGACCCAGTGAAAATCATAGGATCATGGAATCAATAAGGTTGGAAAAGACCTCCTAGATCACAGAGTCCATCCTTTAAGCAAAAACCACCTTGTAGCATTAAGTGCCACATCCAGTTGTTCCTTGAACACTTCCAGGGATGGTGACTCCACTGCTTCCGTGGGCAGCCTGTTCCAATGCTTAACCACCCTTTCTGTGAAGAAATTCTTCCTGATGTCCAACTTGAACATCCCCTGATACAGCTTGAGGCCATTTCCTTGTGTCCTGTTGCTGGGAGGCTCACTCGAAATCTCAAGTGGAATAGTTATGAACAATTAACAGTGACTGTGCTTGTTTCCTGGCTACTCTGGCTCTCAATTAAAGAGAGCTTAATGCACAAAGCCTGTTAAAAGTCAAAAGGAAAGAGGATCAGTTCAGTCAGAGAGCTGGTTTTCTCCTGTAATGTAAAGTCAGTAGTGTCTTTCCAGCTCATGGCTGGGGTGAGGCTTGCAGTGCAGAACCTGCAGAGCCACCACCAGCACTGGGGAAATGTTGCCCACACTGCAGAAAATCAAAACCAAAAGAAGGCCTTTTTTAAACACTTAAGTTTTTTCTAATTTGAGCTAACAGATGATGAAGTTTATGTCCTTGTGTAGTAGTTTCAATAGTGATTACAGGAATGTCTTCTGGTTTTACATATTTGTTGACCTATAAATTATCTAACGATTTTAAAACTTTAAATTAATGATGTTGGACCTCTTAAAACACTTCGTCCTGCAGGGTTTCCAGACTTCCAGTACTTCCCTTACTATGCTTCTTTGAGTTGTAGTTTGTAATGTGTCTAGTAAGTTACTCAGCTACTAACGACCCTTCTACTCCCTTTGAGCATTTGTTCCCATGGTGCTTCCCCTTTGCATGTAATGCTTTTACTTTATGGTTCTGCAAAACAGACTTAAAAAAGACCTAATAACTGTTATTACATATGAAGTAAATATCAAATGTTTTAGAAAATATATATTTGAAGAATAACAGATGTGTGGTTATTACACTTTTGGCAACTTTCATTAAGTATGTGTTTCAGAGTAAATAGTTGTTTCAATGATAAAGAAAGGAACTTTTGAGTACCAATTTCATAGTAAAATGAAATTATAAAAATAAAAGTTTTCCATATCAAAGATGAAAGTTTTGTTTGGTTGATAGCTTCAACCTGATTCTAAAATTTTTATTATTTTCATGGTATGCAAAAACTTATTATTAATTAGAAGTCACATATGCAAAAGTAGGTGACCTCCACCCTGCATAATGCTAATAAGGCCTCTCTGCACCATACTTAGTACAGCAGCAACATCTATGTTAAAAGTGCAACAGCAGCATCCCAGATCCTGTCTAAAGGAATAGTGAGGGTGACTGGCAGTGAAAGCTGCTCCTGTTATTAAAATACTGTGTATTGAGCTGTGGGCTTGTTATGCTTTTTGGAATCCTTTTACTGCTTCTGAAGAATGAAAAGGTAGTTGGAGATGGCTAGCTCTCACACTGAAAGGAAAGGGTAAATAGGTAAAAGCAGGGAAGGGAATAGGACTCTCAAGGAAAAGGACCTGAAGATTTCTATATCGAGGCTAGAACTTGGATATGAAGATTGTCTTCTATTAAGATAGATTTCAGATCTTCTATGTACCTCAGTAGCTCCTTCAACTACTCTCCTAAGCACAGGGTGATAAGGAGGACACTCTGCATTGTTTTTATTTGAAGCAAAGCAAAGGCAGCAGCCCCGCTTGCCGCAGGTAGGGAGACACAGCGAGCCCAGGAGACGCCAGGAGCAAGTGAGCTGTCACCACTGGGAGATGCGTTTTTATTCCTACACTGGTCTCTGAGAGCAGACGGATGTCTGCTTTTGCAGCTGCTCCACATATGCCCCTGCTTA